ATAAAACTACGATAAACCTTTGATTATTTGATCTTCAATCCTCCCTGATCACCCTGCTTTGAGCAAGATTTTCCTATCAATTACTTTAAGGTCTTAATTATCTTGATTTTTTTATTTGTACTTTTGATCACTTATTTCCCTCGATCTCGATTTTTTATACATTTCTCGATTGACTCCTCGATTACTTATATTTTTTATTTTCAATCACTCTCGATTCTCAACATTTTGATCTCGATTTTCATCCCTTTGATCTTAATCTCAATTTTTTTCTCTTTGTCTTTTATTGTCTTGATCTCGATTTTTACAATTTCAATATCGATTTTTACCATTTTGATATTAATTTTTACCATCTCAATCTCGATTTTATCATTTCGATCTTTACCATCACGATCTTGATTTTTATTCTCTCGATCTCGATTTTTATCATCTCGATCTTGATTTTTATCATTTTAATTTTTATCATATTGATCTCAATTTTTACCCTTTCGATTTTTCATGGTCTAAATTACTATTTCTTATTTTTAACTTCAATATATTTTTCTGCTCATTCTTTCAATATATTTGTAAATTTGGAAATAACAAAAAACATATACCTTTTTTTTATTATTATAAAGTTTAAGAGATAGAGAGAGTGTGCATTTAAAGTTGAGAAAGTTAGATTTTTGAACTTAAAAAACTATATATAACTACTTTACTTTAACAAGATAAATTATATTTGGATTTTCAACATGGGAGAAGTGAGATTTTGTCTTATTTTATTTAAACATTTAATTCAATTTTTTTTTAATAATTTTGATATTTTATGGTTATGGATGGTATATGATTAGAGATGACAAAACGGGTTAATCTACTCCATCTCAATATGTCTTATCTCTAATCCACCAAAAATTGGACAAGATAGATTGATTCGTCATAATCAGAATGAGTTACAAACCCTAACTCGTCTCACTAAAAAGTGGGTTAACTGGCTAGCAAGCCGATCTATTAATATTTTTTTATATAAATTTGTTTATATGTATGTTTTTTAAAAATAAATATTTAATTATATGAACAAATTTTAATTTTTTATTTGCTAATTAATATTTTTATTAGATAAATTAAAAAATTACTGTATCTATGTATTAAAATAATTAATTATAATAGTGTAATATATTTATATATTTTAATAATATAGCAAAATAAATTTAATATTTTTAATTATAATTTTTTATTTTTTATTTTAATATATAAATAATTATTTAAAGTGGATTAGTTTATCTTATCTTATCCTTCTCCAAATTGGTAAAACAAACCAATATATATATATATATATATATATATATATATATATATATATATATATATATATATATATATCATGTATATAATATCTTATAACGTAAATTTGATTAATTTTATCACATTATATTTTTAGTCATCTTAATATGTCATGTTACATTGATTTAATTTTTTTATATATATAATTAATGTTCATATAATATTCATACAAGGATATTAGATGCGATGATTAATGATTACAGAGATGCCATTTTAATCCTTAAGAGATAATGATCATGTAAAATAGAAAGATTTACTTTTTGAATTTCTTTTTTCATAGATCAATTAAGAAATTTAATAAATAAGTTAAATTAAGTCAAAACTTTTTTTATAAAATTAGATTAATTTTTATCCAACCTTATTAAATCATAATCTAAATAAACTTACGTGAAACTAATTTATAAACTTATATATCAATCCATTTTATAAAATAAAATAAAATTATTTTATAAAAAAATATATATATTAAATTAATTTAATAAAAAATCATTTATTTTAAAAATAAATATAAAAATAAATCTTTAATTCTTATTTTTAAAGAAATGATATCTTTCTTATAATTTATATATTAAATTATTATATTAAAAATAAAATTTTATTTTATTAATATAATTTAAGTTTTAAAAATATATTTTTATTTTAAAATATTTATTATTTTTTCAATTAAATAAAAAATATCTATTAATTTCTTAATTAACATAAATTCAGACTATGTAAAATTATAATCTATTTTAAAATATAAATATATTAGACTATAATTTTTTCTTCTTCACAAATTAGGTTAGGTGGAACAAGTTACATGTTATATCAAGAGTCAATTTATAAATATTATATCGAGCAACAACTATCAGAGCTATTTTACAGTCTTTGCCTAAAAAAAGTTGTGTAATACCTTTTATTAAAAATTTTAAAATAAAAAAATGTAAAAGAAAAGGCAGTAAATCAGATAATAAAGCAGTAGATCAGTGGAGGAGAATAAGGGGATCCATGGAATACACTGTAAAACAATATTTATAAAAGAATATAGATAATCATAAGGCTTAAAAGAAAATCTTTTTGTTGTTTTTATTAATTTTTGTTGTTTTTTTTATAAGTGATAAAAGAAAAAACAAACAGATAAACAAAAGAAGATAAATAAAAATGATATATAAGAAAATATTTTTGCAAAGACTGCTGCAATATGCAAAATATTCCTCAACACACAAAGGTAGCTTTGCGGGACTTAGGGTCTCGTGGTACTCCTTGGCCTTAACCTGCCCTACTACTGGTTGGGTATCCTAGTAAATACAAACCAGTTCAATTGCAAAAATATTCAGGTAACTAAGGATTTCTCGCTCTGACAAAAACCCAATATGGAGAAAATTGTTCTGAAACCTCTTTGACAAAAAGGGGGAAAAGAGGGACATGACAGAAAAAGAAATAAACCAAAACATGTTATAACTCTTTATCTCTTCTGTAGGTCAACGTGACTACTTAGCTTTATAAAGAACGTGAAACCAGACTAACTTAAATAATGACTATCCGAGATATAGTCGGTTATAGCAAGAAAATTCCAGAATAAGATTATGAGATGACTGAATCTGGCAGAGCCGGTAGACATCTCCTCATAAGCTTATGCATGAACAGAAAATAAAGGCAAAAAAGTAAAGATAGAAAATAAACACACAAATCCATGATAAGATTATGAGATGATTGAATCTCGCAGAACCGGTTAGACATCTCCTCATAAGCTTATAAGAACATAAAATTATACAAAAAATTTTAAGTCTTTAAATGATTATCACATCTTTTAATAAATATCACTTAAGACATCCAATGACGTCTTTATAAAAATCCCTCATTATCATAAATTATCAGTCTTTTTATTTTTATTTTTAAGGAACATGGGACAAAAGTTCTTCTTTCATGTGTTCATTTTAAATCATTATATATATATATATATATATATATATATATATATATATATATATATATATATATATATAAAGTTATATGCTTTATAGGAATTTTCATGCACAAATATCGCAATATCACATTTAAATTGTTTTCTCTGAAGAAGTAAAGCTATTTGTCGACCTAGTACACTACGATGAAGCGGGTTATTATTTATAGTCTGTGAGTTCTGTTTTGGTCTGTTCTAGTTTGCCAACCAAAACGGGGCATCACTTTATTAATATTTTTTATTGTAATATAATCCAGAGAATTAGAAGGACAATATATAATATAAATATTTATAAAAAAAAATTTAAAAGTCTTAGTGTCTTATAAAAATAATTCATAAAGTTTCAATATATTTTTATTAAAAGAATTCAAAAAGTTTTATAATTACTTAAATTTATATTATAAAAAATTGAAGAGATTTTCAAATATTGTATCTAATGATTTTATACATTGATTATTTTGAATGGAAGACGTGAGAATTACTCAATGAGAGAAATGTTTTATCAAGTAATGTTTTATCAAATAAATTTTTACTTGTTACATATATATGTATTTATTATTATATAAATTTTATCTTAATTTAATTCTTCTAAAATATAATTTATTAAAATAATATATCAATTTATATTATTAACTTGAAATAAATAAAAATATATATATATATATTGAATTGTTGACAATGATAATTTTATTATTAAATTTATAAAAAGATTTTATTTAAAAATAATAAAATAAAAAATATGACGAGTCAACTTGCCAACCTGTCTTTTGACGAAGCAGACGAATCCGTTTTACCATCATAATAAATATACTATATTTTCTCTTTAATAATTAATAAATAGATGAAAAAATGGGTTAAACACGTGGATTGGCTCTAGAGTTCATTGAACTCATTTTGATCTATTTCATCTAATTTATTTATTTCATAAAATTAAAAATATTATATATTTTATTATATTATTAAAATATGTAAATATTTTATAATATTATAATTATAAATATTAATTAATTAAGTTTAAATGATTAATTATAATTAATTATTTTAATATATATATATATATATAATGTTTTCTAATTTATTTAATAAAAAATAATTAATAAAAAATATAAAAAGTTATTTATATAATTAAAGATGTACTTAACAAAACATATAAAATATTCTATATAAAAAAATATATTAGTAGAATAGAGTTTATAAGACGTTCTGATTATGACACATTAGTTAATATACTTGTTTTTTATAAATTACGGATTAACTCATTTTATCATCGTTATCCATTAATTATCTTATTACGTGGCCCCCAAACAACGATGCATCCCCGTTGTAATAAATCTTATACTCGAATTTCACAAATATCACATTTAAATCTTTTATCATAAAAATCATAAAAAGTAAAATAAATTAAAGCATACATGTGACCCACAAACCCAATTTCTACAAATACCCCCAAGAAGTAATATAAACAAATAAAAAAAAATAGAAAAACCTCATATTTACTCAAAATCCCTTGACATCCTAAGTTCTTCAATTCTTCAATCTAGATCAACCCGCAAGGTTAATTTCATAAACCACCCTCCCCTAAATTATTATTTGTATAATTATTTTTGTCCAATAAAAAATTATCAATGCATATATTTGCTTTCCCTATTTCTCACATTAAGTTCAAAATTCTTAGATTAAGCAAAATACTATTCATGTGTGATTTGTGTGTGTGTGTGTGTGTGTTTTTTTTTAATTCTATTCAGGAATTTTCAGGTACTTGAATTGCTATGAAAGAAGGTGAAAGCAGCAAAAGTGTTAGGGAAGTTGTGTCATCATCTGAGACTGCACATGATAGTAATGGTGGATCGTCGTCAAAGAGCGAGGATGCAACTTCATCGATGTGGTTTCCAAAGTTAATGATTTGCTTGACCAAGAAGGAGAAGGAGCAAGATTTTCTGATCTTCAAGGGTTCTTCAAAGCTTCCAAAGAAACCCAAAAGAAGGGCTAAAACCACACAACGCGCCATCGATGTAAGCCTTCTCTATTAACCTTTTTGCTTTACTTTTTTTTCTTTTTTTTCTTTCACTTCAATTACTTCATTTAGTTTTAAGTTTTGTGTGTACATATCATTTCCCAAGTGTTTTCTTCTCATATATATTTTTTAAAGGTTTTATGCATTAGGAATGTTTAAGTTTAATTGATTAAAATAAATAAATAAATAAATGAATAAGAACTTTTTGTCACGTGACATTAATTATATTTAAATGAAACGCGTTGTATGAGTTGTCATAACAATAGAAAGAAAAAATGACATTGTTTTTTTCTTTAAGTTATTATATATGATTAATTATAGTTAAAGCATAGGGATTTAATAAATGTTAAAATGTTTGTTTAATTAAATGCAAACAACTTTTTTTTAAATATATACAAATTTTAATATTTTACCTTTTTTATTCAAGGCTATTTAATTTATAAGAGAAGAGAGTTAGATACAAAATTTTGATTTAATAACAATTGTGTTAAAATTCATCTTCTTCTAATTTGTCTCCTAACGTGGTGAGTTATCTTCCCATGCTTTTATTGTACAAGAGAAAGGAAGAGAGTCACACAGTGTAATGGATTATAGTAATAAAGATGTAATTATTTGAGTGACATTGCTTTTAATATTTTTAAATATAGGTTAAGATTTAAAAGTTTAATTGGTGTTTAAATAATAAAATAATACTTTTATAATATAATAAGTTACTTAATATAAATATTTTTTATAAAAAAATAATAATAAAAGTTATTATTGTGATTATAATAAGTTATAATAAATATTATAAATATAAGATATATTATTAGAGAATATACAATAAATAATAATTAAAATAAATAAAAATAAAATAAAATAACTATTATTTAAAGTTAATATAATAAATATAAGATAAAAAATTATACTTTTTATAAAAAAATATTAAAAAAATTTAATATTTTTATTTTATTTAATTAAAAGTGAATCAATCCAAACATATAGTTACTTTTTTTAAACTTTTATTGATTTTGGATATTTTTTAATTTTATTTTAATTTAATTAAAATCCGATTATTTAAAAATAACATATTAATTTTTAAATCAGTTTCAACTAATGAATTAGTGGATCAAATTCAATTTTCAATAATTTTTAGTGATGTGTAATCGATTATATAACTCTGCACACAAAACCATTTGAAAATATGATTTAAAGGGAAGTGATTTTCATTTGGATGTTTATAGTAATATGATATGGGATACAAGGACATTATATTATGGTTATTGTATAAAAAGTTGGTCATCATCTCTTTTAACTTTTTTTTTCAAATTAATCACATACATTAATAAATTTTATCATTGTTAATCTCTTTTCATTTTCTTTCACTTAATTAAAATAATTTCACTTATTAAATATCTTTATTTCTTTCATTTTTATTTTCTCATTTTCTATCATCACATTCAAATAAATGTTAAATAATTAATATACACTTAATGCAAGTTTCATAATTAATATACACTTAATGCGAGTTTCATACATATAGAGGAAATAGAGAAAAGAAATGATAAATGGAAAAAATAATTTAATGTGAAAGATAGAGAAAAAAATAATATTTAAACCATTATATAAATAAGATTTATTTTCTTAACTATTTTTTTATCATCACTTGTAAAATAATATTATCTTTTATCATATAAAATATAAGTATTTTTATTATATTATCGATGAAGAGAGGAAAAAAATAATATATGAAAAATAGCTATTATGCTATTATGTATTTAGAAAAGAAATAGAAAAATTTATAATACATACAAAAAACAAAGAAAAAAATATGATAATATAAAAAAAAAGAATAAAGTAAAATTTTAAAATATTTATTTTAAAAATTAATAATATAAATATAAATATATGGAGACATAAACTTATTACCACGTCTTTTCATTAATAATGAATAATATAACTAGAGAAGAAAAAAACATTTAATGGATTGAAAAAAATATACAGTTATAGGAAAAAAAACATTAAAAAAATGTGAATATAGGACCATATATTAAAAAAGAATGTAAATATAGAAGTTATTTGAAAAATAAATTATTTTATCAGTTTTTCGATAGTATTTAAAAATTTATTATTGAGAAATTTTCTATTACTTGTGTAGAGTAAAGATATTTTACATTTTATAGGTAAGTGTGAAATAAGACAGGGAACATTGAAAAATGCAACATAGTAACACATTTACAAAAGAAATTAATTTATATTTAGATATTTATATATTATAATATTCATTATATATATACTTAAACCTATAAAAAATTAATTATTCTTTTAAGAAATTATTCCTATTGTTTTTATTTTGATTAAGTTTGATTAGTATATCAGTTCCACAAAAATTCATGTTTCTTTTTATTTATTAGATTTATCAAGAAGTGAAATATTATTTTTATATTTTACTCTTCTCATATATAACTAAATTCATGATCAAGTCAATATAGTTAATATATTATAATCTTATTCGTTTAGTTAATTTTAAATTTTGTTATTTCATCACAACATCAAACTGACTCACATAATGGTGTATTTAACAACACCTTTCTTCAATGATTCAGGTTTCAAAACATAATTTTAAGTGTTTTTTCTGTCTCCACAATTAAATAATTGTGACCATGAATCTCTCCTTCTACAATTTTTTTACTATGAGGATAGAAAATATTCAAATTCAATTTCCTTTCAAGTAAGTTAAAATTCTCTTTTGTTGTAGATTGAAAATGAGAATTCATTGACTCCTCATAAATTTGTTTATCAACCTATCATTGTATACAATATCTAGTTTGGTATATCATATATACAGTGGTTCATTGTTTATACAAACTACTCATAGCTTAAGACATGTTCCAAATTCAATAGGAGTTATAGTTAAATTGAAATTACTCATTGAACATTTTTCAAAATATTCACAATATTTCTTTTGGTGTATGAAATTCTAGACAAATTTAATGTTTAAAATATATAATAACTCTTCTGTTATTTCAAATTTCTGCATTATATTTTTTTGTTAAACTCAACTGTATCATCTATAACGTTTTTAGTTATAAAAAAAGTATCTACATAGAAATAAATGATTAATATATTACTCTTATGATTTTTTATATCAATATCATGTTTAATACAGTACATTTACTTTGGATCAAAATTATATAAATTCTTAAATTCCAAATGTGTGGAGCTTCTTTAAGATATATAAAGTGTTTTCCAATTTATAAATTTTTCTTTTTATCACTTACTCCATTTCTTAGTGATTGTTAATATATATATTTTTTTAAAGATGACCATTAAAAAGTGTTAATTTTATATCGATAACTTAGTCAACTTTCACAACTTCTCACTGTTTCAATCAATTAAATCTTCTTGTTGACAAAAAAATGTTATTATAATTTGATTTTCAATACATAAGAATTCTTTGATTTACAGTTCAAAATATTTTTCGAGTCAACCAAATATTTGTCAAATTTTTGGTTTGTTGTTGAAATGATTAAGTAATATAGAGAATATAATCTTAATACTCAAAATAGACATGGACATTTATTTATATTAAATGTTGTATTAGATTAATTTTATTTTTGTAATTTATTAATAATTTTTTTTATGGATCTTAAATCTAGAATTATACAACTTACAAGAACTTAAGAACAATCATAAAGTATATCCTGTCATTGAATATTAGAGATAACTCAATGGTTAGTTGATTATGTTTTATAATTAGTTGCACTGTGATGCACAGTTGCGTTGTTATGTGTTTTTTTTTTCTTCCTTTACAAACTTAGCATATATATGTTAAGTTCCTATTCATTATAAAGTGAGTTGATCAATGAAGAAAGAGATGCATCCTTCTCAGAAACTCTAATATGGTTTAAGATTGCTAAAATCCCTCTTATCTTCCTCACATCTCTTTTTCTTCGTTTTTCGTTGATCGACTATGGTCAAACTCAGCTAAAACAACCAAACACCAAATCACCTCATTAATCTGGTCAATCCTTTGTATCTTCATCCCAGTGAGAATCCGACGCTCGTTCTCGTCTCTCCTCTATTGACTGAAAATAATTTTCATCAATGGCAGCGAGATTTGATGGTTGCCCTAGAAACCAAAAACAAAGAGTAGTTCGTCACCGACAGTTTTCCATGTCCACCAATCACATACCTCCTTTATGACACCTGGCGCAGATGTAATCGCATGGTGATAGCTTGGTTGACGTGTTCCATGAGCACCTCCATCAAGCAATCCGTGATGTGGATGAACAACGCTTCAGACATATGGAAAGATTTGAAAGAAAGATTCTCACATTTCGACAAATTTCGCATTGTCAATCTTCAAGATCAAATCCAGAATTGCAAACAAGGTGATTCATCAATTTCTGATTATTACACAAGATTACAAATTTTGTGGAAAGAAATTGAACTTTATCGATGTGTTATTCTTTATAAATGCCCTGTTTCTTGTTCTTGTGGTCTTCTTGCAAAGCTCCAAAAAGAATGGGAGGATGATTGTGTATTCAGTTTCTTCATGGTTTAAACAATGATTACTCTCTCAAGTACGATCCCAGATAATGATCATGGATTTCATGTCTTCGATCCTTAGGATTTTTTTCTATGATTCTACAACATAAAAGAGAATTTGTTGGTACTGTCTCTAATCTTCCTCCTCAAGACTCAGTTGCCTTCTTTACGCAATCGGATAATTCTTTCAAAAACCCCAATTTCAAGAATTTGATAGAGCTACCAAGACCACCAATCCAGGAAAATCTACCAATCGAAATACAAAATATTGTGAAAATTGCAAGAAAACAGACCACACAATTGAAACCTATTATTGGAAAATTGGTTTCCCTGCTGGGTATAGAAATTCTGGTCATACCTCTTTTTCTGGTCCCAAATCCTCTGCAAGTTTGACTAAAATAGACTCTGCCACACCCTCAGAACAATCTTTAATGGTTGACGATTCTCCATGTGACCAATTCAGC